GAATTATGATATTTTCAAAACATGCACATGCACGACCAACATTCATAACAAGATTAAGTGAGAATGAAAAGGTGGATGCGTTTGTACCTAATTTTATGAAAAATAATGGAAAGGCAAAGTGGCCAGAAGAACCTATACTGGATATATGAACAACAGCTATTTCTAGGTGGGTGGATTAGAGCTCATTTTGGAGTCCTGTATAGATCAGTTCCAGCTAGGGCCGTCTCTGTACGGGGATGTACATATGGAGGGCCATGTCCATCTTTCTATCCCTGCAGATAGAGAAGCTTTAGGGTAACCCTGGAAATCTAAACATACACCCACTGAATAGAAGGCCCTCTATTATATTCTGTAGACTTTGCCCCAGCAAATTCTACTTTTTGAAAGCAGTTATGGTGCCTACTGAATAAGGAGTGCCACTTACGGGAGGAGGAAGGCAAGGAGAACTCGCCCTACTGGTGTGTGTCTGAGGTTTTGTGGGTTTGGAGCCTCTCTTGCAAAGCCCTGCTGTGAAATTCAGTTAGACAGTCAGGATGGGCAGGAACCAGAGCCTTGCTGGCTGGCAGGAAAGCGAGGTTCCCATGGGCTTGTATAACACCAGCGATAAACAATGCTGGCAGGCACCCGGATCCTGGAGCAGCATGCTCATTGTGTCACCGTGTGGGTGGCCGTGGTGGCTGTGTGAAGCCACAGCTGCTGTGTGCACTCACGCTCTGCTCTCCGCTGCCAAGTCCGAGTCACCCTTGAAACAACCTAGGTGCCCAGAGGGACAAAAGGCATGGAGTGTGGCCCATGCCCTCCTAAGTCATTGCCACCAGTTTAGATCCTATGAACTATGAAGAATAAGGGAGAGTCTGTGGGAGGAGCCAGCTGGGGCCCAGCCTACTGCACACTGGTCGCTGTCATTCTCCTGGGTCAATGCTTTGGGTAATCTTGAACTTGATTTTCAAGGTGAAGATTGCAAACCCAAGTTGGGGCTTTGAGACAGAGACTCATCTCTGCAGCCCCGGTTGGTTCTCCACATTGGACATGCTGTGTCTACCTTGCTTCAAGGGCTTGGTTTAAAGAGAGATGGTGTTCCATGGCTGGATGAGGCCCCAAGCGGCCATCTAGTGCATCCTTTGTTCTCTGGCAGCAGATATGCAGAGAAGCCCTGCCTGGTTGGGCTCTCAGGAGCCGTTAGAACAGAGCTGAAGATGAAGGCTGGTGAGGGCACAGAGTATGTGCGTGTGTGTACACATGCTTATAATGAAGTCACCACCTCATATGGTTGCTGTGAAGTTTAAATGAGATAACACATGGAGAATGCTTAGAACAGAGACTTCAGTGCCGTCAGTACTCGGTGTTCCAGTGCCAGCAATGATATGAGGGAGCCCTAGGGTTAGGTCTTCCTGAAGCTGCTCAAAGCCGAGACACGGCATTACGCTTCGACCTAAAGGCAAATATCTTGTAAGTGCTTGAATCAAAATTTAAATCCAGTCTGACACCATGTGAATTCTAAGCCACAATACTCTGTTGCCTAAGTGAACCAAATCGATTTAAATTTTGACCTCCTATCCATTGCGATCATTGTTACGACTCAGTGTTTCCTATTACAGTTTTAAGACGTTTGCTACTCATCTTACTCTTGGTGGATTACAGAAAGATGTCTCTTTGGGATTACTTTTCCCATATTTTATTCTCTTGGAGAGTTTGCTTAAATTTGACCTCAGTGTTTCCTACCTGATGAAGAGAGGTTTAATTCTTCACCTCTTACCTTGGACATGGTCACCATCTTCCACTCCCAGCTGCCTCAACTCCCTCCCCATTGTTTGTCACTTTCAGAGAGAGAAAGGTATCTGCCAGGGGCAAATCTTGCTTTGTACCAGGGTATGCAGCCAGGCCTGAGAAAACATACCAGGGAGGTACTGCGCAGGCAGGAGAGAATTAATTTGGCTTACTGCCTGACTGTCATCTGGTCCAACCTGATTTCCTTCGGGCGGGGGAAGAGGGCTGGTCTGTGTTTGTTTTATTGTAGAGTTCTATTCTTTTCCCTCAGGGTGTTTCTCTCCAGTCCCAAGGCTCCTGGTCGTGCTTCTCTGCACACCTGGGTTCTCATGTCACACCCCAACTCAGCACACTGCAGTGCCGAGGGGAGCACCAGGCAGATTCCCTGTCTACCCTGCCACAAGGGCTCTACCATATGAGCCTTCCCCCCAGCAGCATGCTGGCCTTATATTCAATGGCCAAATGTTGGGATGTCCAGGGGTTACCTTGAAGTTACTCTAGCAGCAGGTCAAAAAGATGGACATTTCTGTACGTGTGACCTTACAGACAGCCCTAATCAAAACTGGTCTATAAAGACTTGTCAAGTTTGCTATTTGTACAGTATTTGATGAATTTACTGAGCTGCTAGCCACCCTGCTACTCTCAGCATCGCTAGTTCCAGGCCTCTGGATGATCCTTGGAATTCGTTACATTTGCCTGCTCAGCGTGGATTGGTCTGGTCAGTAGTCAGTGGGGGTGGCCCTTGGGAAGTCCAGGGCAATGATGGGCACAACAGATGAGAGGTAGCTTTCAGTTCTGGGGCCTGGAGCTTGGGTCCGTGCCAGGCAACCTTCAGATGTGTGCTTGGTCAAGTTTTCTTGCTGCTTTGGGTTGGGGCTGAGCAAGATGATCTCTGGAAATGTTCTTTCTAGCTATAAAACTCCGTGATTCTAGGGTCTGGGAGATGTCGCAATTCCTGTCTTGCAGAGTTGCTGTAGGAACAGCATTTGGGCACAAAGAGGCTCTTAAGCAGCCTCAGGACGTGGTGGGCACCCAGAGTGTACAAGCCTTGCTCCAGCTTGAGTGTCCATGTGGCATCTCATCTGATGTCCAGTAGGGCAGTTGCCAGGGCAAGAGACAAGGCCGACTTAAGAGAGAAAACAAAGAGATCGTGCTCAGTGCCCTCCCGTGGGGCTCCTGAATCAGAGCTGGCCACTCTCTCCCACGTGTGCTTCCAGGGCAGTGACTGCTGCTGTTGGGTAATTCGTGTTCCCAGGCCAAGACAGGCACACAGTGAGAGCCTTTGTTTCGGACCTGTACGTTTCAACACAGGTTGGAAGAAACAAAACCCCAATTGATCTGAGATGAACCCGCATCTGATTCTGTGGATTGAGCTGAGGGAGAGCCTGCCTGGGGCTGAGGAGTGGTTGGTGAGTGGGGCAGTCAGGTGGTGTCAGGGCCCAGAGGCTGCTGAGAGCCACAGGAGGTGGGTGCTGGCCAGCTCAGTGTGGCTGACGTGGGGTGCACATCAGCATCTCCCCGCCAATGTGACCTTTCCGGGGAAATTCCCAGGAAGCTGGCCCTAGAAGAGACCCAAGGGAAGTGCCTTCCGGGTTTCTCTCGACTCTTGGCTGTCCAATGTCTGTCAGTTTGAGTGCTCTGAAAACTGCTGAATGAAATGTTGTAAATACTGAAGATTTATTTATCATGTTAATCTTGAGAGGGGCGGAGCTGAGCACTGATGCAAGCATTTGCAAAGGGGAGCAAGTGGGCAGCAAAAGAGAGTTCTGTGAAGGATAGCAGTGTGTGAGAGTGAGAGGTTTGGATGAGATGGGTGGTACAGGGTCTTTGTTCTGCTATGACTGGACCAGAGATCAGTGTCAGCCAATATTCTAGGCCACACAGGTGCAGTAGACTCAGAGCCTTAGTGTCCTTCTTTTCTGCCAAGGAGATAATGTGGCAGTGTCTAAGGGGTTTCAACTGGTGACTTTTATGCAGCCCCTGGTACATTTATACGGTCGAGGAAAACAAATCTGATAATTTAGTCACTTTGCCCTAGGTGTTCCCCAACCCAACCTTCCAATCCACTCTAAAAGAAGACAAGTGCAGACAAGTGTGTCTTCAAAATTCACATGTGTAATATATATTATTGTACATACAAATGTAAATATATATTATTATTCATACAATATTATATGTTTTGCCTATTTTTTGAGGGGGCAGAAGTCATCAAATCAAGGCAAATAGCACTTATGATGCTTTTCTTGGTGTATAGTTCCAGGCTGGCCTTGAACTCATCATGCAGCCCAGGCCAGCGTCGAAATCATGGCCATCCTCCTGCCTCAGCCTCCTGAGTGCTGGGATTATGGGCCTGCACTACCACACCTGGATTATTGGTGCTTTTGTGTGTGTAAAGAAACAGATTTTTACTACTTGAATGGGGAAAAAAACCTGCTGTTACTGCTTCTGTCTTCTAGAGGGAGGGGGCGACACAGTTCCTATCAGTGGGATTCTTAAAGATTTCTGGAGCAAGCAGAAAGCATGACTGAAGCTCTGACAATAATTCTGCGATGCTAAAGGGTGAGGGATAGAATAAGCGGCCTTTTGTTTAGTAAGTATCAAGTCTTTGCTCATGGAAGCGAGGACAGCAGGGTGGAAAGCTCGTTTGGTGTCTGCTTTGCACGGAGGTGACTGTCCAGCCTGGGGTGGGGGAGATCCTGAGCTCAGTGGGACCCAGAACACAGAGAAGTGGGAAGAGCCAGGGCAATGTCCAGGAGGGGTGGGTACACAGGAGGACCTAACGGGTGTGGCCGAAGGCACAGGGAGAAGCTGTCGTGGTAGCCTGGCCTTGAGGATACTGCGAAGTGGGAAGCCAAACACCCGCTTTTCAATTGTCTGGATTTCAGCCTTTTCATTCCTTTCTCTACACCCCAAACCCTTAGGATGACCTGCTTCTCACAGACCCCTCCTGGGATGGTTTTCGAGGATGAGTTGAATTGCAGTGTCTGTGTTGGTACCGAGCTGATGAAAGGGGCAAATGGATGAGATCAAAGAGTGGGCGGAATTGAAATTCGCAGCCAAAGTGACCAGGCGGACAGACATAAGGAAGATCAGGGGGGACATGAGACTTTTCTGAGCCATAAGCTTGTGTTTGGGCCAATTTTTTTTAGATCTCAGAGGGCAGGGTGACCTCAGCTGACATCCAGTTAGGTTTTAATCGTTCTGTTTCAGTTAACGTGATCTCCGTTTTACAGAGGAGGGAAGCAAAATGTGCCCAGCGATGCAGCCTTTCAGGGGTGGCTGGGGGTCAGGGTTTCCTGGTGAGGAGATCACCTGAGGGGATGAAGACACCAAATCAAAGCCTTCTCCACCGCATCAGCGGTCGGGAAGTTTGCTGGTAAGTATCTTCAGCATCGTTGACCACTTTGTCTCTGTCACAGCTCTGTAGTTCCACGGCTGTAACCCCCATCCTATCCTATGTTGTTCTATCACTCATCAGTGTTTGTAAGTGAGTGAAAGGGACACACAGACTGTTTTGGAGAGGACAGAGCACAGTGCTTAACACTGAGACCAAGGAGGGTCATCCTGACCTTTTCCTCTAGGAGTCTTTTGCTGAAATTTACATAAAACTCTAACTAGACAAATTAGCACATGTGGTCCTGGCTCCTTTTAATCTGATAGGGCCCTAAATGAAGCATCAGTTTTCCTGAACAAATCACAGCACCCTCCTAATCTCTCACGGTGTGTGTGTGTGTGTGTGTGTGTGTGTGTGTGTGTGTGTGTGTGTGTATTTGAGAGGCAAATGTAATACTCTTGTGTTTCATTATTTTGCTGTCCAGGAAAACATAAGAATTCATTTTCTTTGGGATTAAGGAACTCTCTTCTTTTGTCAGCAACATGAGGTTTTAGCAGATCTCTGATCCTGTGCTGAATAAAAATAGGGCACTACAATGGCGCGCAGAGCCGGGGCTTGAACCCAATTTGGATTAACAGGCGCAGCCATGGGCCTTCTGACCCAGATGGGCCGATCTGGGAGCCGGTGCTGAGAGACAGCCCCTGGGGACCCAGGTTTTTGTTCCCCCTAATCTGAGGCTGGTTAATGGGGGCTGAGCCTCATCGTCTGATTGATGCTCACGTGACAGGTCCGGTCAGTATCAAGCTGTCAGCCCGGTGGCTGCCATGTGCTACTGGGGGAAAATTGGGAGTGATCCAAGCCAGGAAGCTCAGGACAGCTGGGGTGTTGGCTTAGCATCCACCCCCAGGAGCTTCAGCTCCTCCTGTAAACTTGAGTCGCAGGCCTTACCAGCCTCCAGGTGCACACGGGAGGGAGGTGACATGGCAGGAGCCTGCTGGCCTGTCCCTGGGCCACTGCAGGACTCAGCGCTTCCCTCTACCCTGGGCTTCACCACGCTCCTCTCCTTGCCGTGATTTCTTAGCATTTTCCAGTGGTGACTTACGTGTCTGCTGACACGTCTACTCGTGTTGTCCCACTCCTACCCTGTCACCACACTTTTTCACCTTGTGTGAAGCAGCCCTGCTGCTTCCCAGGGTCCCCCAGAATCACGCATCCGAAAGCTGGACAAGCTCCACTGTTGCATCTCTCCCTGGGACTCCAACCTGGGCACTGGGGACAGAATCGAGCCGTGCTTTGTATTTCCTCGGTGCCCCCAGACGCTGTGCTGACCTCTACCACTTTTAATCAAACAGAAGAGCACCTGTCTCCTCACTCAAAGATGCTGGAGTCGCTGCTGGTCCTACACTCCCACTTCAGCCCAAAGCCCTCTCTGTTTCTGCCTGCTGTGCGCTGTGTCTGCATCACAGGACTTGTGTGAGTGACACAAAGTGGCATTTGATAACGTGGGAGCCCACAACTCTTGAGTGCTTGTGACTTGCCAGGTGTGTGCTGAGCACGTTTTGGGCCTTGTCCCCAGGACTCTGCAGAGCAACCTGTTTTCAGAAAGAGAGCCTCAGGGAGAAGAAGGAGCATAGAGCAGGAACGTGCCAGACACAGATTCCAGTGAAGACAACCGATTCCGGGCCTGCATTCTGAGCGACTCCCTGAAGACTGGCACGCGTAGCCCCGCGGCTGTCAGGCCTAGCTGACTTTTGACGTTGTCGCCTCAGGCTGCTCCCAGCTGCCTTGGAGATGGCCACAGGGACCCGGGGAGAGGGGCAAGAGGGGACTAATGAAAGCATGGAAAGCGCAGCCCAGGCACAGGGTCCTGACATACGACTTGCTTCCATTTCCGACTTGAACGTTCAGCTTTACTGTGGTGCCAGAGTGATTGATGCAGTAGAATTTGTACTTTGAATGCTGAATTCTGATCTCCTCCCAGGCTGGGGTTAGCGATCTGAGGCATCTTTCAAGTTGCAGCTCCAGTTCACACAGTCATGAGGGGACGCAGCCCAGGCTCTACAGTGTGCTGTGTCGGGAGCTAGGATCTCAGCAGGTTAGGTGCGGTCATTGCGCTTTCTTTCCTTTTTTTTTTCTTTTCCTTACTTTTCTCAAATAGGATTTTATTTATCACTATTAAAAATATGAATTTTAGGGCCAGGTATTTAGCTCAGTGGTTCTGCTGCTGCCTCGCAAGCACAAGGACCCGAGTTTGAACTCCGGTATCAAAAAAAAAAAAA